CGAACAGTCACTCAAAATAAGCATTAAACGTCAGTAACTGGTGAATTAAAAATTTTAATTCATTGAAGTTAACTGTTCATACAGCCTCGCTTTTGAATATAACTGATAAGCGGGATTGATTGATCAGCTTAATTTCTTGAATTTTAGCTGTCGAAGAATGGTAACGGTGGCGAACTGGGATGTAATGTATAGTGTAGCCGCACCATACGAAAGCAAGTTTTACCATTTGCTACTTTGTTTCTGTATTTAATGTGTATTATGGTGCATCATACTTAACAAATGATTGAATGTTCATTTTACGAACAAACTAGAAAAATTCGTCGAATGTTGCACTCCCTCCTGGAGTACGGTGCACATATTTTTCAATCATCAGAACTGTGGCAATGGAATGTTTACATGTTCATTGTACTGCATCTATCAAAGACAAAGGCTGATTGAATATCGGGGAACGCTTTAGATGACAACCATTTTTTCAAATATGTCACATTTAGATAATGAAATAAATAGGTTTTCATGGTTTCGGTTTCTTGTCTATAAAAGTTCCTAGCAAGTATGCTGTGGTGGTTTATGTTTGTTTGAAATATTAAATTAATAATGGATCAGATTAATTGAATAAGAATATTTTCAGTGCTCTATACATTTCACAATGGAAGGAGAAATAATAAAATAAAACTAATGCTTTGAAAAAACGTTATTTTGATGTTTATGAGATTTTTTGTTTCAGTAATCGTTTGAATTTGGGGAAAATTTTCTATCGCAATATTTTGACAAAATTGGAAAAGCTCCTTAGTGCGATACCAGAAATGAGTAGAAAAATATGCAAGATGTATTAAATATTTTTTATATTGTGATTGTCGACAGAGAATAGCTTCAGTCGTAGCGGCTGTATGTCGTATATAATATATATAATTTATTGCATAGTAAATGGGTAGCCAGTTTAAGATAGCCAACCTGGTCTTATCTGATGTGATTTAGTTCTAGAATCTAGCGCAAATGCTGTGGAGTCAGGCAGAAAACAATTTTCTGTAGCTTCTCTGGTAGTGTCATCATAGGCTTCTTTTATTGCAACTATTTCATATTTTCGGATGTGTCGGATACAAATTTGATTTGGACATAAGAACAGTTCAGCATTCAGCATTATACTATCCTTGGATAGGATTAACATGTATTTAATTTTAGGATTAACATTGTATTTTCCGCACAGCTAATGACTATCATCAGCTAGTTGCTCTTCGATTTTTTGAGTTAGTGTAAGGAAAAGAAATCATATTTTAAAACCAGTTCTTAATTGAAAAAGTCGGAAAAATAAGGTAAATTTTTAAATGAAGAATGACAAAGAACCGGTTGGCTCAGAATTGCAACCGAATTAGACCGGCATGTGGGTAATAGTTTTCGGGCTTGTTTCCATCTCTGAAATGGATTATCAACGTCAGGGTTTTCAAACAGTGTTTGACGTAAGCATCATTTCAAATTCACAATTGAAAGCAATTGATTGACAAATATCATATTTGGATTCGAGGATTGATCTGTACGGCAAGAATAGTTTCTCGCCGCCGATGCCGTTATGGTCCATATTATACATGCTACTATCCGTTTCAGAATCAGTGCTCCTGGTTATTTTTTCGATAACATGGAAGCCCGTTGCACCAGAGCTGTGGGGTTGACACTATTCGATAGCCAAGACTGTATATTATCTTTCCATAACTGAATGGTTTTTTTAGCATATTTTTAAAACTCGGTTTCAACTAAAATTAACTTCAGCTGATCGGCTTTTGAAAACAATACGGTAAATAAATGCGGTAGTAAGTCACATGTGTATAAAAAAGAACTATATTCAAGAAGAAACAACATTGATGATGTTTCATCTTATTATAAACCAGTTATTGAGCTACAATAGACACCGCGGAGCCGTGCACTTAAGTTCACGATGCAGAGAATACTAAAAATACTAAGATGGATTCCCACTGAATATATATTGGCAATGAATAAAATTTTACTTTTCGTGAAAATAAAACGTCATTTTACACCACCATTTCTAGCTCAAAGAGTTTCTCATCAACCTGGTTTAAATCTGTTATTGCGTTCAAGAGATAAAAGCGAATTAAATCCTTTTTGTTGACCTTCTGAAAAGTTTAGAAATACGTTCTTTCCGTGGGGGTGTAAGGCGTTGAAATGTAATGCCCATTGAACGTCAACAAATAAAACAATGAAGATCTTTTCGAACAGGAATGAAAAATTTCTTTTTCGTGTTCTACAAATGGGCAGGATTTAGAGGCACGGGACGGAAATACGATATAGTGCTAAATCAAATGAGATTTAATTTTGCCGTACTCAATTTGAACTTGTGCATATAAATTTTATACGGTAACTAGTTTTGTGTCTGTGGAACAAAAGAAAGGAAGAACGCCACCTATGTACTAAAAATCGCATAAAAATGGGCAATTAATGGTAATTAATTTTCGCCTTTTCAAGAATCATGATTAATTGGTAAAAGTGCCGCGATTTTGTCGACATGGAGAGTTCCGTCTATTTTCAGTTATTATAAACTTTGCTTAATAGAAGAAATGTTGAAAAAATCAGTACAATTCTCAGTAGAAGGCAAACCCAGTACATCTTAACATAAATGGACTGAGTACAGCACAAGGATACGTATATAGAACTGATACACGACGACAACATAAAAAAGAGATAGTAATGACAACAACGGGAATAATAAAAAGAGAATAACTGATGAACAAAGACGAGGAAAAGATATTATGAAATTATAATCTTTGTATGTCACGAATAAATGTAATTACGATATTATATAGTTCATTCAATTATATTACGCTTAAAGATGGTGCAGGTTTTAGAAAGAGAGTGTGTCATTTTCAAGAAAGTAGACTTACTAGAGCATTCAAGTCATTTTCAAAGATAGTTCGTATTTGGTGGTAATATTGACACTCCAAGAAGTCATGCAGTATTGTTTCAGCCTTCCCACAAGCAGACTGAGAGCCACTAACCAAGTTTTTTTTTATAGAGGTGATCATTCAAGCGAAAAAAATCAACGCGCATTTGATTATGAATTATGTCACATTTTCTTTCAATGTTTCTGAATCTTGGCCGTTTATAGCAAGGAAAAAAATAATCGTTTACTACAGAACTAAATTGTCTTAAAGGTGAAATTGTGGCGATAGTAGTAGATTCTTCATCACGCTGAATCTGGTAGCAATGTTTATTTTTCGAAAAAAATTCAAAAACGAAGTGAAAACCTATATCAGTGAAGTCGCTCTTGCATGGAAATTCGATTTTTGTATTACCTCGTATACGAACTTATCACGCATTTGAAAAACAACGAAGCATTTTGAAGAAAAATTTTCGCTGGCAAAGTTGTTCAGGATAATCCTCTTCATAGCTCGCGGGAATCTTTTCATTTTATTGGGAAAGTTTGAAAGAGCATGTACAAAAAAGTTTGGGTAAGATAAGATAATTTCTGATTTACTTTGTAAAAGCATTTTTCTCGTTGTTTAACAAATAAACGTGCAATTCTAAGCATATCATGTTTTAAAAAATAGTACTGCGTTTGGTTTACTGCCCAGGTCGCGGGAAATTAGACATAAATGAGACATGTATGGCTCATTTATGATATGAAGTGAAAACGATCATATTATGATCCTAAAATGATTTAAATATGAGCTTAAAATGGTATCATATTTGAGTCATTTTAAGACCATTTCATAAAATGAGACAAAAATGATGTATATATGATATAATTTGTAAAAATGATCTAAATATCTAAATATGATCCTATTATGATCATCTAAAAATGATCTATTTATGTATCATTTTTATATCATATCTCTAGGATCGTAGATGTGATATTTACGTGTCATTTTTACATCATTTTTAACTGCTGATCTAAAATGATCATTTTCTTTGGCACATTTTATGATCATAATTAGATCATATCATTTATGTGTATTGGATTAGTCATTTATGAGACATTATGACACAAACGGAAGTAGCAGTTTTTATGGAATTATGTGCATTTATCTCCTACCACTTTCCACAAACACTATACAGAGTTGAGCCTAGAGAGTAAAAGATAGTAAAGTTAATTTCTGATATCTTTTACTCCGAAGCCGATCCCCGAAAATCCTTTCTTCAGAATAAAAACCCCATTTTAAACTTTATTTTCCGTTTTTCGCCATAAAGGAAGTGTTTTCCAAGGTGGGACTAGAGGTACAAAAATGTCACAAATTAAGTTTACTATCTATTAGTTTCTAAGCTCAACTCTCTACAGCGTTTGTGGAAAAAACTAGAGGCTAATTAATCAAACTTACTAGTTTTTTTTGTTTATTTTAAGTTCAAAGTGAAAATTAAAAAGCAGACGGAGCAAAAACATATATATTTGTATAGCCGTGTGATGTAGTGGATAGCATCGTAGACTTCTTATCTACAGGTTCAGGGGTCGAATCTCTGCACGAATTATTTCGTATTTTTTCTTCTTTACATTTCTTATCTCATAAATAGTCTTAAAATGGTCTTAAAATGAGCTAAAAATGACCTAAATAGGATTCGTAATAGGCTCATATTTTGATCACCATAATAAGACGATATTTATCCCATAAAAAAATGACATAGTTATGACTACATTATGATACAATAAATGAGATAAATATGGGAGAGATGTGATTTAAAAATGAGCCCTATATGGCACATAAATGAGCTATTTATAGCTCATTTTTTATCTTATTTTTCAAGGCCTGGATGTTTATCTTTTGTTTTCCTTCATTTTTCAAAGCGCTCCAAGGCCTGGATGTTTATCTTTTGTTTTCCTTCATTTTTCAAGCGCTCCATTCTATAGCCTAAGAACCGTTTGAGTATTAAAATTGTATATGATATGCGGCTCAACAAAATGAGAGATTCTTGTACAATGTGTAGAGTAAGTACATGAACAAATGAAGGATCTCTTGATCTATTTCAGGCTATATCAGTGATCAAAGAGTGGAGGAGACAGTATGATTCCGATTCTCCTCGTCGGTAGTATTCCGTTAATCGACAATGAACAAGTGTTTAAATGTGTCAGCGAAATTATGGGTTCTCATCTTCGATACATTCCGGACGGAGAAACAGGGAAAAGACGTATGTGGATCGGGTTTCAGGAATGCGTTTTTGCTCGTAATCCACTATTAACGCAAGATCCACCCTTCAACATTCACTACGGTCCACAGATTGGAAAATTTCGATTTCGTGACGGCAGTAATCGTATGGAACTTAAATTCGATAATCTTGGGTACTTGGAAGCAGCTCTCAATTCATTTGCACTATTTAAGAAATTGAAAGAAGATGGTACCATCCCAACTCATGTTCGCTTTCAAGTATCAGTCCCATCTCCTCTTGCTACAGTCATCACGTTTGCTGATCCCAGCACAATTGTCGACGTACTTCCCGCTTATGGTCGCGCATTGTTGGCTGAAGTCGAACTAATCTGTGCGAAAATACCGCACGATCAATTGGCTATTCAATGGGACCTTGCCTTTGAATTTGCCGTATTAGAGGGTGTACCTGTTGGCGAAATCAGCATCGATCAACTCTTTCGTGATGTCATTGCTTTAGGCACAGTGGTTCCTGAGGACGTTCATCTTGGTTTTCATCTATGTTACGGCGATTATGGACATAAACACTTTGTCGAACCCAACGATTCATCTAAACTTGTTCAAATGGCAAATACATTGACAAAGCAATTGTTATCTAGAACAATAAACTGGATACACTTGCCAATACCACGCGATCGAACAGATGAAGATTATTTTCGACCAATGAAAGATCTTGAACTAAGAAATGATACTGAATTGTATTTGGGTTTAATCCATCTGACAGATGGTGTGGACGGAAGCCTGCGTCGAGCGCAAACGGCTAAGAAAGTTCTGGGATCTCTACCATTTGGAGTCGCAGCAGAATGTGGATTCGGCAGACGTCCACCAGAGACCATTCTCGATTTGCTCAAACTACACGCTGATGTGGCGAGAAAACTAGATTAAACGAAATTGAACTTCGATATACTCTCGTGGTCCACTGGACGTGAACATATTACCTTAATGAATCGTTGGTATATCTCACTAGCGTTGAAAAATCCCTATAGTGATGTTTTAAATAAATTTTTTTGAAAAGTCGTGTCCAACATGTTTTTCAATACAGTGTAGAATGTGTTCTTTATCTACAAAATAAACGATCCGTCTACACATTATAAGGTTTTCAGGCTATTGCTACCCGACGGCTTGTCCAGCTGACGGTCTCCTTTTTTTGCTCTTTTTCAAAGAACTATGGCAATAAAATTAGAGAATAATCTAAAATTACCACTAGATAATTGAGTAGATTAAACATTTCTCTATAAAATGAAAAGTGTCTCAGCTCTGAACATTGATTCGTTATGAAAATACAGCTGTTGTACAAAGAGTCCCAAAAATCGATGTTGAGGCTATCTAAAACGCGTGTCTAAAAGAGTGAAGACGAGCTGGCAAAAACTGAACAAGTATATCAGTTTGTCGAAAATTGTTTGCTCTACACGATCTGATAGCTTGTCAAGTTCGAAACTATTGTAATTAATCTGTATTAATCAAAGAAAAACCAGAAAAACCGTGACGCCGTGACAAAAAACGGTCAAAAGTGTCACGGCGTCACGGTTTTTCTTTGATTAATACAGATTAATTACAATAGTTTCGAACTTGACAAGCTATCACATCGTGTAAAGCAAACAATTTTCTACAAACTGATATAATTGTTCAATTTCTGCCAGCTCGTCTTCACTCTTTTACCGAACTAGAGAGATCATAAAACAGATTGAAATACGCCATCGCCCAATTCTTCAGTTTCTCAGTGAAAAGAATCGAACTTCTTTCTTAAACCGAACGAACTAATCGTTTGCTAACGTAGAGAAGAAAACCGTGATATAATAAAGATAATAAGAGTTAAAGTTAGTGTTTTTTCATCTCCGCAAGGACCTTCTTGAGATGATTATTTACACCGTGAAACATTTGATCGAGCTTTTCGCGTGAAGATAGTCGAGCTTCTTCAGACATTTTATATCCAATTTCCTGCTCGCCTTGTTTCATTCTTCCAAATACGTGATCACAAAATTCATCGAGATCTTCGCCGAAATCATGGGAACCACCAAGATTTGTTTTGACAGCTGGAGGAGATATTTCGATCACTTGAACAGGTGTATTAGCTAAATCGAATCTTATACTCATAGTGAAACTGTGTAGAGCGGCTTTAGTTGCTCCGTACGCGGGAGCGAACGCTGGAGGAACGAATGCGAGACCTGATGTAACATTGATGATAGCTGAAGGTTGCTGTTGCTTGAGAAAGTATGAGACAAACAGAGAAGATAAATGAACAGGAGCCGAAAAATTGATGTGAATTTCGTTTTCGCGTTCATTCCACGGTGTTTCAGTGTCATCAAGAAAACTGACTCGCCGTTGAATACCTGCATTGTTCACCAATACATTAACTTTTGGATACTCTTTCGTGACCCATTGAAACAGTTTGACACGATCAGCTTCCTGACCAACATCTCCAACATGATAAACGAGTTTGTCTGAGTTTAGTTTTCTTTTCGCCTCTTTGAGCTGATCCTCTCGTCGTCCAGTGATTATTACTTGAGAACCAGATTTCAAAAATCTCTCAGCGAGACCATAGCCAATGCCACCTGAAGGATTTTTTCATGATGATAAAAACTTGTAGCTTGTGGATTTTGTCCGTCATGTCTATCTTGCGGCATTCTGCAATCTTTTCTCATCAATGTCTGTGCAGGGTGAACTTGTCTGTATTTTTTATTTTTGGCAAGTTAAGTACTTCTGCATCTTTTCGATAGATTCTGCATTTTTTTGAT